TTTACCAAACCAAACGCACATCGTGACAAACACAGATGCATTTGTCACTTTTGTTAGACAAACTTCAGTCAAATGTGGCAGTAGGTCTGTTCTGTAGATCCGCTCTATGCTGTAGACCTGCTTTGTGTCAACACTGGAACACACATTTAGACTGGTTTTTGCTTCACGTTTGGTCTTGCTCTTCTAATCAGCCGCACTGTGGGAGGGGCTTGTGTTGGCTGTACGCAGGAAGGAGCGAGAGCGTGAAAAGGCGAGGGGCGGCGTGCTGACGTGAGGCAGGTGGACAGGTAGGATGTTTAGGAAGTTGAACCTGCCCTGTGATGCACGCTGGTACACGAGGGCACACGCTGTCGCAGACGAGCCGTGCATAGGGAGCGTGTGTGTTTGTGATGCGCCGTAGAGTCTCCGCGGGTTTCAAATGAGCGCACAGGCTGCACTGAGACGCCCCACACGCTCCTGCACCCGCTACAAGTACTACTACTACTACTACTACTACACTTCTACCACCGAGTACTACAACAGGTACCACACGCTCCAGAAACATGAAACCGTCCGGTTGGTTTATGTTGTTCTGAGCGTCCGTCCTTTGCACATTTGGTTCTTCACAGGGAAAGCGCCTCTAAGACTGTGGCACCAAACACCACCACCCCGACCTGAACTAAAGACAATTTAACCTTTTTTTTCCATGTAAACCTCAATTTGGTTTTATTGATTCTATTTAAAGTTTTCCAAACTCGAGCACTGACCCCCCCACCCCAAAAAAACTCTCTGGTTAGCTACTGTACTGTACTGTTGACTGTAGCTGAAAGACGACGAGTTTGCAGGTTTGTTGACCAAAAGACAAAAACACACAGAGACGTGGACGACTCGACTGGATCCACAAACACCAGGATCCACCGAGTCAATATTCTCCCAGACATCGATGGATCTGCTGTTCATTTAAAACTATTGAGGAAAGGTTCTTTTCTGTCCTGTCAGTGGGATTGTTTTAGTATCGATACCTGTGAAAAATGAGGATCTAGGCCCGATACTCGTTTAATATCGATTAGAATCAGATTTTTGATATTTTCCGCGTCTCTGCTCTAAATGTTCTGTGTGTTTGTGTTTTCTCTTTCTCTTCAACTCTTCTCAGGATCCTTGATCTGTCCCGAGCTCCGGAGCCGAGGAGGGGCCCGGGACGAGGCTCCGGGACGAGGCTCCGGGACGAGGCTCCGGGACGAGGCTCCGGGACGAGGCTCCGGGACGAGGCTCCGGGACGAGGCTCCGGGACGAGGCTCCGGGACGCGCTGTAACTCTGCCCCAAGGCCCCTGTCAGCCCCTGTCAGCCCTGTCAGCCCTGTCAGCCCCTGTCAGCTCCTGTCAGCTCCACACACGAGCCCAGAGACGCACGAGAGACAGAAATCACTTTTATCGAAGTCGAGTCACAAAACAAGGACACGGCTCCTGATTTACTGCAAATGACCAAGAAGAGGCAACAGGAGCGGACAGGAGCGGACAGGAGCAGACAGGAGCAGACAGGAGCAGACAGGAGCGGGCAGGAGCAGACAGGAGCAGGCAGGAGCAGACAGGAGCAGACAGGAGACAGGAGCAGACAGGAGCAGACAGGAGCAGGCAGGAGCAGGCAGGAGCAGACAGGAGCAGACAGGAGCAGGCAGGAGCAGACAGGAGCAGACAGGAGCAGACAGGAGCGGGCAGGAGCAGACAGGAGCAGACAGGAGCAGACAGGAGCGGACAGGAGCAGACAGGAGCAGGCAGGAGCAGGCAGGAGCAGCAGGAGCAGACAGGAGCAGGACAGGAGCAGACAGGAGCAGACAGGAGCAGGCAGGAGCAGACAGGAGCAGCAGGAGCAGGCAGGCAGGAGCGGGCAGGAGCAGGCAGGAGCGGACAGGAGCAGACAGGAGCAGACAGGAGCAGGCAGGAGCAGGCAGGAGCAGGCAGGAGCAGACAGGAGCAGGCAGGGAGCAGGAGACAGGAGAGCAGGAGCAGACAGGAGCAGAGCAGGCAGACAGGAGCAGCAGAGCAGACAGGAGCAGACAGGAGCAGACAGGAGCGGACAGGAGCAGACAGGAGCAGACAGGAGCGGACAGGAGCGGACAGGAGCGGACAGGAGCAGACAGGAGCAGACAGGAGCAGACAGGAGCAGACAGGAGCAGACAGGAGCAGACAGGAGCAGACAGGAGCAGACAGGAGCAGACAGGAGCAGACAGGAGCAGACAGAGCAGACAGGAGCAGACAGGAGCAGACAGGAGCAGACAGGAGCAGACAGGAGCAGACAGGAGCAGGAGCAGGAGCAGCAGGAGCAGCAGGAGCAGACAGGAGCAGACAGGAGCAGCAGGAGCAGAGGAGCAGACAGGAGCAGACAGGAGCAGACAGGAGCAGAGGTTCTGACCTGATTTGATGCAGTTTTGGGCCAGCGTCAGGAGCTGAGGAGAACAGGCCTCGAGGATCTGCTGATGGAGCGAAACGTAACGAAGAGTCCACCAGGAGACGAGCTGAGGAGACACGAGAACGAGAACATTTACAACCTTCTGCTGGAGGAAACAACAAACAAAAACCTCCTCTTTATCTGAGTGACTCTGATCACTGTGGCCAAGTCCATCTGATTTTCTCCTTTTGCATTTTTCATTTATTTCGTTCTTATTTAGTCCAACAAAATTCAACACGATTCTGAACTTTTAAATTCAAATAAAAAGTCCAACATCATGAGAGTTTGTTCCAGATGTTCTACTCCACAAACGTCACAAAGGCCCAGAGGTTTGTTCTGTTGGAGTAAAGTACAGCAGGTTTCAGACTGCGGTGTAAAAAACACTCCACACGTCTTTGCATTTGAGTTCAGACGCCCTGACGCGTCTTGGACATCGTGGACGAACGGCAAAAAAATATTTGACGCTCGTCCGTTGCCCTGGAAACAAGAGCCCAGTCCTGGACTTTTCCCCAAACGATGTTTTTATGACATAAAACCATCAGTGAAGATCGACTCAACGACTGTGACGTGAATATAAATAAACTCCAAGAATGACACTGGTCTGGTCCTGGTTTAGTCCTGGTCTGGTCCCAGTCTGGATCTGGTTTAGTCCTGGTCTGGTCCTAGTCTGGATCTGGTTTAGTCCTGGGGTCTGGTCCCAGTCTGGTCCTGGTTTAGTCCTGGTCTGGTCCCAGTCTGGATCTGGTTTAGTCCTGGTCTGGTCCTAGTCTGGATCTGGTTTAGTCCTGGTCTGGTCCCAGTCTGGATCTGGTTTAGTCCTGGTCTGGTCCCAGTCTGGATCTGGTTTAGTCCTGGTGTGTATATTTATTCTGGGCTCATGTTTGTGGTTCTGGTTCTTGGGTCTTTCTCTTTCTTCCTGATAATAACGTCGTTACGTCTCTGGATACTCGTCTCTGATTGGTCGACGCAGCGTCAACCAAACGTGAGAAGTTCAGCATTTTCAACTCCTGACGCCAACGTCCTGGACGCGCGTCTAGATCGTCGACGCCTGATCCACGCCGCCCAAAAACACAACTCAAAACACAGGACACCGTAGACGCGCGTCCACATCCACTTTCCACAAACCCGACGCTCGGACACAGTGAATATTATTAAACTCATGAGATCACGAGATCAGATCACGAGATCACAAGATCACAAGATCACACACGTGTGAGGAAAATGACCTCGTGAGATTTTTCTCCCTCTGAATTTATCTTTGCCTTGGACTAAAAGAAACAAACTAAAGAGTTGTTGAGTTTTACAGTTTGAGAATCTGTTGTTCCAAAACACTGAGCTACAAGTTACACAAAATAAATGAAGCCAACATCCTGAAACAGATTTCACTATTTTATTACAAATGTCAAAATCTCGTGTAAATTGTGTTTCACGTCTCGTCTGATGTCGTTTATGTAGAGACTCAATGTCCCACAATCCCCTGTTTCTGTTTCTGTTCTGTTCTGTTGTCTGTTTCCTGGACTCGTGTTTTGTTTCTGTTTCACTCACAAACCTGCAGATTTAACACCTGCTCGTCTCTCAACCTCAAAACACTCTGTTCCACCTGCTGATGTCATCATGTGGTGATACAGGAAGTGCTCCGTGGTGTTTCTCACCTTCAGAGTCCCGGAGCAGAGCACCGCGGTGAGAAGCACCCTGGACAGGAGCAGGAGGACGGGAAGAACCACCAGAGGATAAACACACTCCCCGTCCACGAGCAGGGCCGACAGGAGCGACGCCCGCACCTGTCACACACACACACACACAGGGTTAAAACAGAGACAGGTGCAGACAGGGGCCGACAGGAGCGACGCCCGCACCTGTCACACACACACACACAGGGTTAAAACAGAGACAGGTGCAGACAGGAGCGACGCCCGCACCTGTCACACACACACACAGGGTTAAAACAGAGACAGGTGCAGACAGGAGCGACGCCCGCACCTGTCACACACACACACACACAGGGTTAAAACAGAGACAGGTGCAGACAGGAGCGACGCCCGCACCTGTCACACACACACACAGGGTTAAAACAGAGACAGGTGCAGACAGGAGCGACGCCCGCACCTGTCACACACACACACACAGGGTTAAAACAGAGACAGGTGCAGACAGGTGCAGACCAGGTGCAGACAGGTGCTGGGGTCATGTCTGTCTGTGATCTTCTTGTTTCACTTCAGTTCTGCACTCGGTTCGTTCACTGTGAGACTCTGGTTCCTGGACGACCTGGTGCAGGAACCGACACGAGCACCGTCCTGACCTGAAAACATCTGGAGGCTCCTGCTCTGCTGCGGCGGCTCTGGGGATCTGAACCCTGTCAGTTCTTGTGGGTCTGTACCTGGTCCTGGTTCTGGTTCTGGAGCAGAGCAGGAGGAAGGATGTCAGAGTCCAGAAGGTCCAGAGGAGGAGGTCCAGTCCAGTTACTCTGAGCAAACATCTGCAGAGAAGAAACGGCGACGACGAGGAGAAGCAGCTGTCTGAGAAGAAAAGAAAAGAACTGATGTTAAAACAAACGAAACTGAAAACACACAGACACACACAGACACACACACACACACACAGTCACACACACTGATGTGTGTGTGTGTGTCTGTGTGTGTGTGTGTGTGTGTGTGTGTCGTGTGTGTGTCTGTGTGTGTGTGTGTGTGTGTGTCTGTGTGTGTGTGTGTGTGTGTGTGTGTGTGTGTGTGTGTGTCTGTGTGTGTGTGTGTGTGTGTGTGTGTGTGTGTGTCTGTGTGTGTGTGTATGTGTGTGTGTGTGTGTGTGTGTGTGTGTGTGTGTGTGTGTGTCTGTGTCTTTTATGTCTGAGTCTGTTCAGAATAATGGAAAACCAGAGAGCGTGAAACTAACTGAATCTGATCAAGAACCAAGAACAAGACCTGAAATAAACCAGGACTAAACCAGGACTAAACCAGGTCTAAACCAGGACTAAACCAGGAAAACCAGGTCTAAACCAGGACTAAACCAGGACTAAACCAGGTCTAAACCAGGTCTAAACCAGGTCTAAACCAGGTCTAAACCAGGTCTAAACCAGGACTAAACCAGGACTAAACCAGGACTAAACCAGGACTAAACCAGGACTAAACCAGGTCTGTTCCTTCCAGACATTTTCCTTGTGATTAAATCCGTTTGTTTCTGAATTATTTATGTTTAATAACAGAAACTCTTGGTCTCCTCGGGGAGAGTCGGACTGTGGCAGAGTGGTTAGTCCAGGGGTGGGCAAACTACGGCCCAGGGGCCGTATGTGGCCCTTAAAACCCTTTAATCCGGCCCAACAAACTTGAATAAATTATAATAATAAACCTTGTTAATGTTTTATTTTTCCTGCATTTCCGGTGTTTCCCAGTAGATGGCGCACTGATATATTATATATATATATATATTATATATATATATACATATATAACACACATATACACATACACACACACACACACACACCTCTGTGGCCCCTGAGCCAAAACATTTGCCCACCGCTGGTTTTGCCCGTCTCCTCAGAGTGACGAGGTTGTGGGTTCGGCTCCTGATCTCACCTGTTGTCTTGCTCGGCGGCGGCGTCCAGGTAAGTCTTCAGCCTTTTCTCCAGGTGAACCTCGAGGTCCAGGTCCTCCTCAACATGTTCACCGTCTCCACGCAGCAGATCCTGGACCAGTGGAGTCTGGAGGACGGCCCGAAAGTCTCCCTCAAAAAACAGCTCCAGCAGAGGACCCACATCTGGAACAAAAACCAGGACTAAACCAGGACTGAACCGGGACTGGACCGGGACTCGGGACTGGACCGGGACTGGACCGGGACTGGACCGGGACTGAGCCGGGACTGGACCGGGACTAACACTCGTCCAAAACGGGACTAAAACGGGTCTAAAACTGGACTAAAATGGGACTAAAATTAGACTAAAATGGGTCTAACATGGGACTAAAACAGGACTAGACCAGGACTGAACTTTGCTCCAGTTGGGGTCAGAAATAGCTCGGCTCGGCTCGGCTCGACTCGGCTCGGCTCTGGTCTCGAACCGTTGACTTGATGAGTTCGGGACATTTGGTTTTTACGACGACGTTTCGAGCGGCCATTTTGAAAACCGCCGCCTCAAACGACCCATAAATCATCAGGAGCAAAGAGCGAGGAGACGAGGAGAGAGGAAACGAGGAGGGAGGAGAGAAGGAGAGAGGAGCGAGGAAACGAGGAGAGAGGAGGGAGGAGGTGAGGAGAGAGGAAACGAGAGAGGAGAGAGGAGAGAGGAGGAGAGAGGAGACGAGAGGAGGGAAACAGAGGAGAGAGGAGAGAGGAGAGAGGAGGAGAGAGGAGAGGAGAGAGAGGAGGAGAGGAGAGAGAGAGGAGGAGAGAGAGAGAGGGAGGAGAGAGGAGAGAGGAGAGAGGAGAGAGGAGGAGAGAGAGGAGAGAGAGGAGAGGAGAGAGGAGAGAGAGAGAGAGAGGAGAGGAGAGGACGAGGAGGAGAGAGAGAGAGGAGAGGAGGGAGGAGGAGAGGAAACGACGAGGAGAGAGGAAACGAGGAGGGAGGAAATGAGACAGAATCCATCTGGTAAAATCAGAGTTTTTGTTTTTATCGATCAGTTTGTTCGACTAAAACAAAAACTGAAAAAACTTAGTTTTTCTTTCTCATTGTGACGGCGGCGTTAATATTATTATTAGTTTGTATGAACATAAAAAATAAATAAAAAATGTAATGTTTAAAAAAAATAAAGAACAAAGAAAAAAAGTGAAAAGTAAAAAAAAAGTGAAAAGTTTAACCCTGAAGAGTTTGACTGTGAAAGATCTGGAATAAATGAATTATACATTAAATTGAGTTTGTTTTAATTTATATTTTGTCACTTAAATTAAAAATTATAAATGAAGTCTGTGAAATTAATTTAAGATACTGACCGTGTTCAGTGCTGATGAAAGTCGTCCGACAGGTTCACTGAGGACAGTAAATAAAGAGTTTTTCTTTCAAAACACTGTGTTCAAAAGAGAGAAACATTTACACCACAAAACCATCGTCAAATAAAAACTCACACCTCATGGTCACTTGGCTCTATTTTCTCTCTGTTTGTATCACTGCGCTGCTCAGGTCGGATCCATCACTTGGTTCAGGTGTTGGTCAGTGTTTGGTCAGTGTTTTCACCTGCTCAGACGCCGCGACGGGACAGAACCAACATGAGAACTACACACATAAGTAAATAAACTTGTATAAGACACATAAGAATCTATCTTAAATGGTGCGACTCTTGATTATTCAGGCTGGAACAACAAAAATGTGTCTGAATCTCCAGACACACGTCACTGTTTTCCTGTCATGAACTTTGCTCTGAGGAAACTTTGGCTTTAATGTGGAAACTAAACCAGGTAAGAAGAAGAAGAAGAGCTGCTGTGTTTACGAGGACAAACTCAAGAACCAGTGTCTCCAGTCAAACTTCTACAAAACATAACTTTATAAGTCGACTGTTTTTACTGTTGTAAATGTGTCGCACTGTTGGCAGCAGCGACGTGGACGTGTGGATGATTCATGTTTCTGTTGGTCGTTCAAGCTTCAGTCACAGTGGAGTTGGTTCTATGTTCACTGTACGAGTTTATAAATGAGGTGATGGTGACTGTGGCTCCTTCAGTCGCTCACGGCTCCAGCTTCATCTTGTCCCACTTCTGTGTCTTTTCTCTCTTCTGTCTCTGTTCGTTCTGACTCCACCTGGTGACTTTCAGCATCAGTATGTTCAGGTTCATAAACATCTCCTCTTGTCTTTGTGGTAAAGGTGATGTGTTTATCGTCGGTGTCGTAGTTAAACATGTCGTCGTTCACTTTCTGAGCAGTAAACAGGCGCAGTGATACAGAGAGAAAATAGAGCCAAGTGATCATGAGGTGTGAGTTTTTATTTGACGATGGTTTTGTGGTGTAAATGTTTCTCTCTTCTGAACACAGTGAACCTGTCGGACGACTTTCATCAGCACTGAACTCGGTCAGTGTCTGGACTCAGGGACCCTGTCGGGGTGAGTCATGGTGGATGTGACGCTGCTCACGAGGACGACACACAAACTGAACTGTAACTTTAAAGAAAACTGACAAACATGAGTCAGAATTGTCACATTTTCTTTGTGTTTTGTTGTTTTTAATCAGATTTTCTGTATTTTACTAAAACAAATGTCAGTTGTTGTTTGTCTTTACTGTTTCAGGATCAGTTTGGTCCAAAACAGAAACACTGGGACATTTCTGTATAAAACTGAGACAAAATCTGTTGTTTTGTATAAATCTGTGGGACACAGAGACACAGAGACACAGGGACACAGGGACAGACACGGGACACGGGGGGACAGAGACACACAGGGACACGGGGACACAGAGACACGGACACGGGACACACGGAGACACAGGAGACACAGGGACACGGGGACACGGGGGACACAGACACGGGACACAGAGACAGGGACACAGAGACACAGGGACACGGGGACACAGAGACACGGGGACACAGAGACACGACACAGGGACATGTGGACGACATCACAGAATAAAACTACATCTACTGAAAGAACTAAACTCTAAACTCTGGTCAGACTCTGGTTTGGTTCTGACCTGAGTCTCGGGTCAGAGTCTCGGGTCAGAGTCTCGGGTCTGAGACTCGGGTCTGACCTGAGTTTCTCACCTTTGAGGTTGAAGACGTTTTGTTTGAAGTTTTCCGCTTCACTTCGGGTCAGAAACCCCCGGAGGAGACACAGCTCCACACACAACATCACACCGAGTCACACCGAGACACACCGAGTCACGCCGAGTCACACCAAGACACGCCGAGTCACCCCGAGACACACTCAGTCCCGGGTCCGGAGCGGGTTCTGTCCCCGGGGAGGAGCGGGTAGAGCCGGAGTGAGGAGCCGCAGTGAGGAGCCGCAGGTGAGGAGCCGTTGGAGCCGTTGGAGTCGTCGCTCGCGTCGCTCGTGTTTCTCGTGTTTTTCGTGTTTACCGGAACATGTGGCGCAGAGCCTCCATCGCCGCGCGGTGCACTCTGGGAAAGCACGGGACTTTCACAATAAAAGCACCGACGGGTTTGACTGTAAACATCCGCCCGAACCTTTCACAATAAAAGCACCGCTGGAGTTTACTGTAAATCTGAACAAATCCTTTTTTTTTTATTTGCAGAAAAATGAAGGAATGAAACGAACGAATGAAATAAAAATATAGAATAAAAGACCTCGACTGTTCAACTGACAATATCCTGTTATATTTACATGACGACAAAAAGATCAAAATATCAATGTATCGTTTCATTAAATGTGATGATTCAGTATTGATATCATGAGCTGTTTTATCAAGTATTTTTTGGTTTATTTCACTAAATGATTTAGATCCAGTTCCAGTTTTGTTGTTCAGAAGGAAACTCGTTTCTGCGACACATTTGACATTTTCTGTTTTGTCGATTTAAATGTTTGTGTTTCATTTGAACTTTGTGATTTAACAAAGACTTAGTGTCACACACACAATTTAGACTTTATTTTTATTGAACTGTATCAAACTGATCTGAAATATGTCGTATCGAATCAAAACTTCACTGTAAAATGTATCGACACGTCTGAGGTTTGAAGAGATGAAAGTTTTAAAGACGAACTGAACTTTTGGATCATCAGAAGAGTTTTTTTTTTCACTTCAGTCTTTGTTTCTTCACTTTTGAATCTCACCGGTCAAAATAATTCAGTATAAACACAAATCTGAATTTACTCAAATCTGTTTAGAATATTTACTGAGTTTATACAGAAAAATTCCCCCGAGGCTCAAACGAGAAACGACAAAACTCAACTCTTGAAAAGTCTGAGGAAAGTCGGACTAAAAATGTAAAAACTAAATTGACAAAGAGGAGAGTAGTCCCAAGAAGTCGTCCTGGTTTAGTCCTGGTTTAGTCCTGGTTTAGTCCTGGTTTAGTCCTGGTTCAGTCCTGGTTCAGTCCTGGTTTAGTCCTGGTTCAGTCCTGGTTCAGTCTGGTTTAGTCCTGGTTTAGTCCTGGTTCAGTCCTCAGTCCTGGTTTAGTCCTGGTTCAGTCCTGGTTTAGTCCTGGTTTAGACCTGGTTTAGTCCTGGTTTAGTCCTGGTTTAGACCTGGTTTAGTCCTGGTTCAGACCTGGTTCAGTCCTGGTTCAGTCCTGGTTTAGACCTGGTTTAGACCTGGTTCAGTCCTGGTTTAGTCCTGGTTTAGACCTGGTTTATCGAGGGATGTAATTATTTCTAAATTTCTTACTATGATTTTTATGTTGATATTTTGTGGAAACATTTGAAACTGAACATGTGACTTTTCCGTTTCATTTTTCCTTTTTCCTGACTTTTGGTTCTGTTAAAATAAAAACAAATAATTCAGATTAAAAAGTGATTATAAAGTGATTTCTTCATGTCGTGGATCATGTCCATGTGAATCTCACCTCGTTCGTCCCTCTGGCTTCAAAGTCCCGGCGTGAACGTCCCGTCCTCCCCCCGAACAAACGTCAACGTCCCAGACCAAATGTGGAGCTTTGTTTGTTGTTTGAGTCGTTTTACTGATTTTCCTGAAGCCGCACACATTTCAGTAACATCAAAATAATCCTCATTTTCTAGCAAAACTTTACTTTGAAATCAGATTTTAAATATGTTTTTCTTGTTCCCAACGTCCTGCTGCGTCTGTAACTCTGGATTTGGGAACAAATATGAATAAATCAATAAGTTTATGACTTAAATCCTCCTCTGAGTTTGTTCATGTGATTTTGGACTTTTGAAATCTTTGCTGAAGCTGTAAAACTCCAGAGCTGCTGAAAAACCAAACACAAACTGAGCAAATGTGGAAACTCAGACGTTTTTAACCAAATACAGATTCATAATTTGATGTAAATGAGCCTGGAGGCGTTTGTATTTGAGGTGTTGATAAATTCAGCTGCGTAAAAACTCTTCATGAATCCGGCGCAGAGTCTCAACTTCTTCTTAAAGTAGAAGTTACGAACATTTTAAAGAAAAGATTCATGACTGAGGCTCGGTGTTTTGAGCTCAGAGTAAAAACGTCCTGACTTCATCTTCACGTTACAGTAAAGTTCTGAGCCTCAGCCTGACAAAAACACTTCAGGAGCCACGAGGATTTAAACATTTGAAAACAGAAAAGAATCAAACAAAACCGACGTTAGTGAAGCCGGACGCCCTGAAGACACCTGCAGGTTCAATTCCCAGAAAGCATCACCTCCGTCACGAGGCTCTGGTGTCGCTCCTCTGTCACGTTCATGGTTTTGCTTTTGTTTGGTTTGGACAAATGACCATGAACCTGGCAGCGGGGGGGCGGTGCCTATCGTATAAAAACCCTGTAAACCTTTTTTCCCTCTCACCTGGTGGTCGTCTGTTCATTGGTACAAAGCAGATTAACTCTAACTGCTCAGCAACAAAGGGTTAAAATTAAGTTGTTTTAAAGGTTGTATGGAGGATTTTTTTTTCCAGTTTCAAATTGTCAATGAAAGTTTAAAATTCCATAACAGAGACGCAGCAGCTTTGGAATTATGAAAAAAAGAATAAAAATCTATCAACTGTGGATGTATTGAGGCCAGAAAAACATCAGCCAATAGAAAACGAGGCTCCCTCATTTTCTATTGGCTGTTGGGTCGTCAATCAAACTCCCTCCGTTTCTAGTGTAACTGACTCGTCGGCGCGCGGGGATTATGTGGTTTATGCTGCATTTTTTTAAACTGTAGTTTCCTCGCATTTCGCACAAAGTTTGTTGCGACGGCCGACGAGAATCCACGAGCAGTTCAAGGCAAAAGAAAGTCGGTTTTTGAGGTCGATGAAAGACGAAGAGAAGGAGAAAAGGAGCAAAGACAAACTGAGGTGATTTTTGGAGATTCTTCCAGCGATGGAGCGACTGAAGCAGACGAAGGGTCTAAAAACTGACACGTCGGTCGATAAATTATTTCTAGACAGGAAACTTCAACAGTGATTCTGAACGAGCACTGGATGTAAACAAGTGTGATTCTAGAGTAAAGAGGCGGGAGGAGGAGGTGTTTCTACTGAGGCTGTGGAGGAGGAAGGTGGAGTCACACAGGCACAACATTTGAAAAAGAACCGTCGCTGTATTTCTCTTCCCTTAAACAATCCTCTACACGACCTTTAAGTTGTTTCCTGTTGTTTGAATCGCTCGCCGTCTCTCACCTGGTCGTCGTCTGTTCAGGAGGTTCTTGGTCAGTCTGAAGACACATCGGCTTCTCATTGGGTGAAACTTGGGGCACACTGGGGACAAAGCGCCACACCAGCCGTCACCTGCCGCCACGGAGCCACTCCTGTGACCCGGGTCCTTTTTTTAAAACTAAAACGCTGTTGATTATTGTAATAAAATCCTTAAAACTGAACTTGGCCGTCTGTAGTTCTGATGATCCAACACGTCTGTTGTGTGGAGACGTTCAGGTCGGAGGAGGAGTCACACCTAAACTCCCGGAGCTGCAGAACCTGGAGCGACATCTGGTCCGTGTGGAGCCAGAGTCTGTGGATCTGTGATTCTTTTAGTCGGAACAGAACACGACTCCAAACGAACGACTCATGATCACACGAACGAGTTTAAATCTGACACAACTAACGTCTAAACTCTGAGAAGTTTGTGTGATTAACTGAATTTTTATCGTGATTTCAATTTGTGCATCAAACTTTCTCTAAACTCATAATTTAACCATTTCAACTCTATTAACAAACTTTATTTGGTGATACTTTTGATATAAATAATTATATTTATTTTATTGTTTAAATCTAGAGATTGTAGAAGAGCTGGATATAAAGTTTATTTTTGACACATTTATGTTTTTCTGCCATATTTTCTTCCTTTTTTAAAAAAATATATTTGATTCATTTTTAGTCAGAACCGTTTTGTTCCTAAATGTTTTTCTGGTGAAGTTTGTGAGATCAGTGGAAAGTTTCTGTTTCTGTTCGAGTGTCGAGTTTCATCTTCGTCTCCAAACACTGAAAACTTGAGTTAAAATGACACTTTTAATACAAAGAGCCGAGTCACGTCACGTCTGTGTGTGACTTTTATAAACCTGTGTGTTGTGTGTTTTTGTGTGTCTTTGTCTGTTTTTTGTGTGTTTTTGTGTGTTTTTGTGTGAGCTGCTGTAAAAACTGTGTCATGAGTTAAAACCATTTTATTTCTTTGTGTTTTTTGTTTTAAGTAAAAGCAAAATGAAGAGGAAGTCGACACCGCAGCCCAGAATCACCCGACCTCATGAAACCTAAACTTTTTTAATTTAAATATTTGTCCCAAAATTAAGAAAAACAAAAAAAGAAAAACAGTGTGTCCTCCAGAAGCGGCGGCTCGTCCAGACTCTGGTGTCGCTCACGTTTGGAAAAAGCACAAAATCTTTTACACTCTTGTACAGGTAAATAAAATTCTTGGGGGGTTTTATTTTTGGTTCCCCGCGCTGACGATTTTTACATACAAATATGGACAAAAGAAGTGGCCTGTGCGCGGCCGCAGTCTGTCGATTCAAACGTGTTGGAGGAGGAAGAGGAAGAGGAGGAGGAGGAGGAGGAGGAGGAGGAGTCCGTGTCTTTGTCGAGGTTATAACGTTCCCTCGGACGAGTCGTGGCTGCCGCCGGCCTTCTCTGCGTCCTGATTGGTCAGATCGGTGAGGAGGGCGGAGCTCTTCTCGGTGAATTCGTCGGCGTCGGGTTCAAGTCCGTCGGGACACGGGAGCTTCAGCAGCTCCTCCCTCAGCTGAGCGCTGTGTCTCTGCACAAACACCAGAGAAACAGAGTTTATTTCACATAAAAACACTCAGAGTCGTGTGTTTGTGACGAGAAGAGAAATGGAAATAGTTTTGTCCAGTTCACAAATTTCATTTCTCCTTTGGCAACTGAAGGATTTTACTCATGGTGTTACGTGTGTCTTTAGTGTTTTTAGCTCGTTACCTTGAGCGCAGCGGCGTGGTGGCTCATGGTGTTGTGTTACATGTGTTTTTAGCGTGTTTATAGTGTGTTTTTAGTGTGTTTTTAGTGTGTTTATAGTGTGTTTTTAGTGTGTTTTTAGCTCGTTACCTTGAGCGCAGCGGCGTGGTGGCTCATGGTGTTGTGTTACATGTGTTTTTAGCGTGTTTATAGTGTGTTTTTAGTGTGTTTTTAGCTCGTTACCTTGAGCGCAGCGGCGTGGTGGCTCATGGTGCGGCCCACCCTCTTGTCGCTGCTGTACTGTTGGATGTCGGTGATCCAGTCTTCGCACTGGGACAGAATCTCCGCCCGCTTCAGGTAAAAGTGTTTATGAATCACCTGAAACACAAACGGATAAAACAGGTTCACAACAACAAACTCATCACCAGAGAAACACACGTCGTCTGCGTCTGACCCACACTCCAGGGCATCTGGGTCAAATGCAGGTTTCAAAAATCAGACACAGAAAGACCAAAGTACAGGGAACAAACCGGAGTTTAGACCTTAGAAACAAGTTCTACAATGTGATTCTTGGACGAGTTTAAAGAGTTTAAATGGAGTTTCTTTGACAGAACGGCGCCTCGTTCTCCCACACGTGACCGACGGATAAATGATCTGATGAGTTTTTTACACGTTGAGAAGTTCAGGTTCACACTCGCAGGTTCGACCACAAAATTCGGAAAAACCCGGAAGCCATTTTTGAAATACATGGACAAATATAAAATGGGCTCCTTGTTTCCTCATCGTGGTTGTGTCTCTTTTCTGTCTTTGTATTATTGTATCTGCTGTTTTTTCATTTATTATTATTATTGTAATATTAATATATTTTTATTTTTTTTTACTTTAGCTTTTATTATTACTATTACTATTGCTATTATTATTAATCTATATTTCATATTATTATTATTTTTTATATATATATATATATTTTTTTTGTTGTTCTTTTTTTTTTTTTTTTCTTGGGGTTATTTTTGGAAAAAAATAGCATAAATATGATGTTTGGTTTGGTTTACATACTCTAATGTGCCATTGAAATTTACAAATAAAATTGTAAAAATAATTAAAATAATTAAATTGCAGTTTCTCAGACGTGAACGCTCCTGGACCAGTTTAAAATGTCAAACTGAAGCCAAAAAACCCCCCAAAAAAACACACTTCCATTTCTGAGCTCATAAATAATAATTCTTCCTCCTCCTCGTCGTCTCTTCGCGGTGACGCCACAGCTCCCGCCCCTCTGTTGCCGTGGTGATCCTCCTCCCTGGCAACCGTCGCCGTGGTCACCCCCTTCCCTGTGTCGTCGTCTCGTCTCCGTCTCCCCTGGTAACCGTCGCCGTGGAGACGCAGCATCAGTATTCAGAGGTGCGTTCGTTGTGGGTGAAGGAGACTCGCTCACACTCGGCCGTTTCACTCCAGCTTCAGCGCGACGAACTCCAACGCTCCAGGTTTTTTATGTGAAATAAATCAAGTGTGAGTTTGTTCAAGTCCCACCGGACACGTTCACATGGTTTTTAATTCCTCATGAACAGTTTTGAATTCAGATCTTCTCCTTGGTGTTTCCAGGTTAAACTGGTTACCGTATTTTCTGCACTATAAGGCGCATTTCAATTTTACTTTAATTTCATGAAAAGCATCTGTGCGCCTTATAATCCTGAGCGCCTTATATATTTGATTGATTGATTGTTTTTATTTGGAGTTTGAGCCAAGAGAGAAACAATCATCATATTTACTACATGTACATTGTAAACAACAGAAAAGCACATTTCTCGAAAAGGAGGGAAGAAGAAAAACCTAAATGAACCGACCCCTGTTCATGACATAGTTTCTAAATGTATGTGGTTGCTTCTGAACATTGATCATGGAACTTAACAAATATTTACATTCAGCAAAAATAAATTACATATTATGCAAACAGAATATAATTTTAACCCCAAATGTTTTCTTTTTTTTAAAATATGAATTTATTGTTGTGTCTTAGTACGACTTTAGTAAAGTCCAAAGCCGCTCCACTTGCAGCGGCTCCGTCGTCAGGAGCATCAGGAGTAAAACAAACTGTGATTCTTTTAATATCAAAATGCTCCTGTCAAGAGACACAACGTCCACTTTAAACTCAAGACTGTTAAAGTGAAAGTGAGTTTAGCTGCAGTGGACGAGAGAAGAACACATGTTCAGAGACAGACAGAGACAGACAGAGACAGAGAGACAGAGAGAGAGACAGAGAGACAGAGACAGAGAGACAGAGAGACAGAGAGACAGAGAGACAGAGACAGAGAGACAGAGAGAGACAGAGAGACAGAGAGAGAGACAGAGACAGAGACAGAGAGACAGAGACAGAGAGACAGAGACAGAGACGAGCCAGTTACACCACGATCTGCTGACGGATGGTGGACGCATTCTGAATTAAATATTTTTTTTAAGATTTATATTATTTTTATTAAGATTTAAATTATTTTTATTCTGACTTAAATTATTTTGATTAAGATTTATATTATTTTTATTCTGACTTAAATTATTTTGATTAAGATTTATATTATTTCTATTGTAAATTAAAGTTCTCCTGTAAACGTGCTGAGTGTGGAACATTTCTTCTCGTGTGTTGGTTTTTTCTCTGTTTTCTGTTTGATTCTTTTCCTGAATCACATTTGTGGATTTGTGGCTCTGGTTTGATTAAAGCTGCAGAGTCACAGCGGGAGGGCATCCGGGTGAAACCGTCAAGGACACGCAGATAAAACGAGCTCCTCGTCACCGGGAGGAACGAGGACGAGGAGGACGAGGAGGAGGAGGACGAGGAGGACGAGGAGGAGGAGGAGGACGAGAGGAGGAGGACGAGGACGAGGAGGACGAGGAGGACGAGGAGGAGGAGGACGAGGAGGAGGACGAGGAGGAGGAGGACGAGGAGGAGACGAGGAGGACGAGACGAGGAGGAGGACGAGGAGGACGAGGAGGACGGACGAGGAGGACGACGAGGACGAGGAGGAGGACGAGGAGGAGGACGAGGAGGAGGACGAGGAGGACGGAGGAGGGAGGAGGACGAGGAGGACGAGGGAGGAGGAGGACGAGGAGGAGGAGGACGAGGACGAGGACGAGGAGGACGAGGAGGAGGACGAGGAGGACGAGGAGGACGAGGAGGAGGAGGACGAGGAGGAGGACGAGGACGAGGAGGACGAGGAGGAGGAGGAGGACGAGGAGGAGGAGGACGAGGAGGACGAGGAGGAGGACGAGGACGAGGAGGAGGAGGAGGAGGAGGACGAGGAGGAGGACGAGGACGAGGAGGACGACGAGGAGGACGAGGAGGAGGAGGACAGGAGGAGGACAGGACGAGGGAGGAGGACGAGGAGGAGGAGGACGAGGAGGAGGACGAGGAGGAGGAGGAGGACGAGGAGGAGGACGAGGAGGACGAGGACGAGGAGGTGTGGAGTCTGTTTTTCCACGTTCTCTGTGTGAGACGAGAAAACTGGGATCCAAAACAAACAAACCAGACTCCAGAACCTTTTCAGGAGAAGAGTCTGGGCTCTGGTGATTGACAGGTGGATCGGCCAATCAGGGACAAGCACAAAGCACAAGACGAAGGAGGAAAAGAAAAAAATATCACAAAGGAACAAAAACAAGGAGGAATTCTGATTGGACGATCGATACTGAAAATGAAACTAACGACCTGCAGAAACTGTAGGATCGTCAGAAATATCACAAACCAGATCCTAATGGAATTTAAACCGATTATCGAAACTAGATCCTCATTTTTCACCGATATCGAGACTAAAAAAGTCCCAGTGACAGAACAGAAAAAAAAACTTTACTAAAAAAATACTAGATCTGATTTAGACCTGGTTTTACTCCTGGTTTAGTCCTGGTTTAGACCTGGTTTAGTCCTGGTTTAGACCTGGTTTTAGTCCTGGTTTAGACCTGGTTTTAGTCCTGGTTTAGACCTGGTTTAGACCTGGTTTTAGTCCTGGTTTAGACCTGGTTTTAGTCCTGGTTTAGACCTGGTTTTAGTCCTGGTTTTAGTCCTGGTTTTAGTCCTGGTTTTAGTCCTGGTTTAGACCTGGTTTTAGTCCTGGTTTTAGTTCTGGTTTAGACCTGGTTTAGACCTGGTTTAGACCTGGTTTAGTCCTGGTTTAGTCCTGGTTTAGTCCTGGTTTAGTCCTGGTTTTACAGATATATGGACACATGGGAGCAGAAGAGAAAGTTCCACCATTTAATGTGCAAAATCACATTCTGTTGTCTAAAGAAAGAGGTTCTTTTTCATCGTTGGATCAAAATCGAGTATCGAGTATCGAGTGTGGAGTATCGAGTATCGAGTGTGGAGTATCGAGTATCGAGTGTGGAGTATGGAGTATGGAGTAGTGGAGTATGGAGTGTGTTCCTCGGTGTTGAGATGGAGTTTGAGGTTTTGGTGGCGTCTGTAGTTCTGGATCTTCTCAGATGGACGCTGAGTCGAGTCTGACCTCCAGCTCCCGTCTCGTTTTTCAGCTCTGGGCCTTGAACCTGTCTCCACCTGAACCACCGACCCTGAACGCACCAACGCCAACGAAACGAGACCATAAATCACACCAGACCTTCACCCTGACCAAGACCGGCCAGAGACCAGGACCAAGACCAGGACTAAAGCAGGACTGAACCAGGACTGAACCAGGACTGAACCAGGACTGAACCAGGACTGAACCAGGATGAAGAGGCAAAGAGGAAAACAACAAGGGATAAACAAGGACTAAAGGAGGAATGAAGGAGGGACTAAAGGGCCACACTGTTCCCTCGTTTACGACAGGTGAAATCCGTGAAGTCGTCAAGTTTATATTTTCACAATGATTCTATCATATTTTAAGTGTGTAAAACTGTCACACACTTTAAACACTTTTCTCACACACGACACAACGTTTTTACTTCCTTATTCAAACTTCTTGCTGCTGTCGTCGTCCTTTTGTTATTTTCCTTCTTTATGTAACAAACCCAACATTCATTTATTCTGTAGTGGGAGTCCTGCACGGCTCCATGTTTGGAGACTCGCACCTGCGCAGTACAGGACCGCACCTGCCCTCACCTGCCCGCACCTGCCCGTTAACGTGAAGATTATATCAAACTTTTGAGCTGCCTACACCACGGACTAAACCAGAACTAAACCAGGACTGATCCCAGGACTCGGTGTGGGGTCGGACTTGGAGGTGAGGAGCGGCTCAGCTCTGCACCTCAGAGTTAAACACGTCCATCGTTCTTCAGACTCCTGCTCCGTGGGCTCGAGGTTCTGTCTCTTAAATCCTGATTTCAGTCACTTTGTGCGGAGTCTGGACCCGGTGCAGGAATCTGATCCAGAGAGAAACGTCTGCAGTAACACGTCCAGACGTCCAGACGTCCAACTGTTTGTGTGATGGTTTCATGTTCCTCGGTCTTTTGGTGCGAGAGCAGGAAACTCTGTCGGTGCAGAACGTTTTGTCGACATTGTGGGTTTTCTCCCCAACAAAACTCATAAAAATCCAGCACTTCAGAATCCGCCTGATACAATCCAACATTTATGTAAATCTGTCTGAACACATCTGACACGAGTCCCTCAGCCAATCAGGAGACAGCGAGAGGAACAACACACGTTTATACACTGTCAAAAAAGACATGCAAAATGCACTAAAAAATCTGTGAAACAAAAAGACTGAAAGGTGAACACGGACCAACACGGACCAACACGGACCAACACGACCAACACAGACCAACACAGACCAACACGGACCAACACGGACCAACACGGACCAACACAGACCACACGACCAACACAGACCAACACACCAACAAGACTGAAAGGTGAACACGGACCAACACGGACCAACACGGACCAACACAGACCAACACAGACCAACACGGACCAACACGGACCAACACGGACCACACGGACCAACACGGACCAACACGGACCAACACGGACCAACACGGACCAACACGGACCAACACGGACCAACACGGACCAACACGGACCAGATCAACAAAAACTGGATCAACAAAAACTGGATCAAAAAAATCTGGATCAACAAAAACTGGACCAACAAAAACTGGACCAACACGGACCAGATCAACTAAATCTGGATGACTGGAGCCGAGTGAGACGCTGCTCTTCCTCCTCCTCTTCTTCCTCTTGTCCATTTTTACCGTTTAAAGAGTTTTTTTTTTTTTATATATGATTTCACTTCATATTGTTTTTGTAGAAACTGAGGCAGCTGTGGGAGCTCTCCTCTTCCTCTGTCATCCCCCTCTCCTCTCTCTCCCTCTCTCCACACTCCCTCTGTCCTCTCCTCCTCCTCCTCCTCCTCCTCCTCCTCCTCCTCCTCCTCTTCTTCTTCTTCTTCTGACTCCTCATTTTTCACCTGGGCTCTGTTCATTCGTTTCATTTGTCGTTTTTCAGACGTCGTCGGCTCGGTCGGTTCATCTCTCACAAACACAAATATCTGTTTCCTGGAGGCAGATCTCAGACGGGATTTACGGCCTGTCGCTCCGAGGGAAAAAGAAAAGACGCTCGGAGAGAAAGTCCCCGCGCTCCCTCACCTCGGACTGAACACAGACACGAGCTTTTATTTACTGTCAAAAGGAGAAGAGAAAAAATCTGAAGAGAAGAAGAAGAGGAGGTGAAGAAGAGGAAGAGGAGGAGAAGAGGAAGAGGTGAAGAAGAGGAAGAGAAGAAGAGGAAGAGGAGGAGAAGAGCTTAAGCAGGAGAGTGGAGTGTAGAGGAAAAATGTGTTGTATAAAAGTCCGTGTTGTGCTGAAGGTTAAAAAATAAATAAAAAAATCCATGTCTCCTGTGAGGCCACATATGAAACTAAACTGCCTTTTTAACTGTGATGAAATGTCCCGCAGTGGAGCTTTAACCCTGGCCTCTTCACAAACGTCCCTGGGGGAGTGTCTTGTGTCTTGTGTCTTTGGGCGGCCGCAGGAATCGGCGTCGAAAGTGGAATAAACGACTCCTGTGATTTTTATGTAAATATCTGAAGTGTTTTGATTTCTAGTCCTGGTTTGTTTTAAATTGTGGTTCAGATGTTTTCACGCTCGCTCCTGAACTCTTTCCGTGTTTTTTCGGTGATCTTCTCGTCGCTCTGGTCACATCCTGGGACTTTATGATCTTAAACATCACGTCCTCCTGACCCAGCTTGACTCGGCGTGACCAGAGCAGATCTGTGGAGGGGCGTTCGCTCATATTTATCTGATACAAGCTTCTGTTTTTGCTCCTTCCTCTTCGGTGACTCTGACACGTGGGGTTCCTCAGGGGTCTGTTCTCGGGCCCCTGTTGTTTTGGTTTTTAGACGTACTCGTTTTTTTAGGTTGTGATCCTGGATTCTGAGTCAGATCTGGACTTTACCTAAATGTTTTTAAAGAGTCTTTCAGGTTCAACCGCTTCTTTCACGAAAACACAGTTCTCATCATTATTTTAAATTTCACAAAAAATTTTTTAATTTTTTTTTTCAGTTTGGCAATATTCCATCACTGTTACCATAGAAACCACTCAGTCAAATCTTCTAACGTCACAGAGACGATTATGTCAATCACACACAGACACAGACACACACACAGACACACACAGACACACAGACACACACACACACACACACACACACACACACAGACACAGACACACACACACACACACACACACACACACCTCTTTGAAGCAGGGTGAGGCGTTCCTGATCTGTTCGAGCATGGCCCACTTGACCGTCGCCTGTCGGATGTTTCCGTCATATTCTCTGGAGCTCTGGGTCCCGCTGGGCGTCCCCCTCGAGCGCTCGTACCCCGGCTCGTTAAAGTACGGCTCTGCCACCAGGATCAGGGACTGGACCGAGACCAGGACCTGAAACAGACCAGAGCACAGGGTCAGGGACTGGACCAGGATTGAGACCAGGACCAGGACCAGGACCATGACCGAGACCAGGACCAGAGACAGAAGTCCAGTTGGTGGTCCAAGGCTGAGTCCGGTTCTGAACCCGCAGGTGTGAGTCTCGTCTGGAGCTTTTGGCTTCGTAAAAACATCCCATAATATTTCTTTATTAACGGCTCCATTAGACGTGAAGGACAAACAGAACAAAACCAAACACCAAACACGACTGGACCAGAGCCACGACTCTGACGCCAACAGGAAAACTTTATTATCAACACGGATCTAAACCAGGTCTAAACCAGGTCTAAACCAGGTCTAAACCAGGACTAAACCAGGTCTAAACCAGGACTAAACCAGGTCTAAACCAGGTCTAAACCAGGACTAAACCAGGACTAAACCAGGACTAAACCAGGTCTAAACCAGGACTGAACCAGGACTAAACCAGGTCTGAACCAGGTCTAAACCAGGACTAAACCAGGACTAAACCAGGACTGAACCAGGACTGAACCAGGTCTAAACCAGGACTAAACCAGGTCTAAACCAGGACTGAACCAGGACTGAACCAGGACTAAACCAGGTCTGAACCAGGTCTAAACCAGGACTAAACCAGGACTAAACCAGGACTAAACCAGGACTAAACCAGGTCTGAACCAGGACTAAACCAGGACTAAACCAGGACTAAACCAGGTCTGAACCAGGACTAAACCAGGACTGAACCAGGACTAAACCAGGTCTGAACCAGGATTAAACCAGGACTAAACCAGAACTAAACCAGGACTAAACCAGGACTAAACCAGGTCTAAACCAGGACTAAACCAGGACTGAACCAGGACTAAACCAGGACTAAACCAGAACTAAACCAGGACTAAACCAGGAGTGAACCTGGTCTAAACCAGGACTAAACCAGGACTGAACCAGGATTAAACCAGGACTAAACCAGAACTAAACCAGGACTAAACCAGGACTGAACCTGGTCTAAACCAGGACTAAACCAGGACTAAACCAGGACTGAACCTGGTCTAAACCAGGACTAAACCAGGACTGAACCAGGACTGAACCAGGATTAAACCAGGACTAAACCAGAACTAAACCAGGACTAAACCAGGACTGAACCTGGTCTAAACCAGGACTAAACCAGGACTAAACCAGGACTGAACCTGGTCTAAACCAGGACTAAACCAGGACTGAACCAGGACTGAACCAGGATTAAACCAGGACTAAACCAGAACTAAACCAGGACTAAACCAGGACTGAACCTGGTCTAAACCAGGACTAAACCAGAACTAAACCAGGACTAAACCAGGACTGAACCTGGTCTAAACCAGGACTAAACCAGGACTAAACCAGGACTGAACCTGGTCTGAACCAGGACTGAACCAGGACTAAACCAGGACTGAACCAGGACTAAACCAGGACTAAACCAGGACTAAACCAGGACTAAACCAGGACTAAACCAGAATCAGTCTTGGCATAAATGTTCCAGAGTGTTTCTTTAAGTGTGTTGTTACCTGGAGAAAGCTGGAGGTGTGTGGGTTCCATTTCTCCTCTGGGCGTCCGTGCCAGGTGTTCAGGATACTCAAACACACCTGAGAGCAGACAAAGAGTCAGATGCCCTCCCGTACTCCTCTACCCCCCCGTCAGTGCGTCAGATGCCCTCCCGGTGTGTCAGATTGTGTCAGATGCCCTCCCGGTGAGTCAGATGCCCTCCCGGTGAGTCAGATTCAGATTGCGTCAGATGCCCTCCCAGTGCGTCAGATGCCCTCCCGGTGAGTCAGATTGTGTCAGATGCCCTCCCGGTGAGTCAGATGCCCTCCCAGGTGAGTCAGATGCCCTCCCGGTGAGTCAGATGCCCTCCCGGTGAGTCAGATTGCGTCAGATTGCGTCAGATGCCCTCCCGGTGAGTCAGATTGCGTCAGATGCCCTCCCGGTGAGTCAGATTGCGTCAGATGCCCTCCCGGTGAGTCGTACCTTGCCGTCGTTGTAGAGGTTGGGGTTGAAGCGGACGCTGTGGCCTCCCGTCGTCTCCAGATTGACCAGAGGAGGAGAGTTGGGATAATCCTGAGGGAAATACACGTCAAACTCAAAGCAGCCGTTGGCGTACGGCGTGTCGGCCGGACCCGTGATCAGAACCTGACGGAGAGGGAGGGAGAGAGAGAGAGAGGGAGAGGAGAGGAAGAGGAGGAGAAGACAGACAGATATTTCAGTTTTCATTAGGTGTTGTAGTTTTCTTTGAACCTTTTCAAACACAAAGAAGCAGGACTCTCTCTGCAGAGCTGATTTATGTTTGTCGTTTCCTCAGTGTTTCTGGTTTGTGTCGTCCTTGACTTGACTTGTATCTGTTTTTTTTCACCATTGTTGGTTTGATTATATTAAACCATAAAACTAACAGTGACTCTGTGTCTGAACTTGTAAATACTTCATATAGTTTAAAGCAAAATGTCTGAAAAATGCAAAAGAAAATCTGGAGGTGGGATTAAATCAGTTTCCTTCTTCCCACTGATGTTTGGACAGTGTTTTTTTGTGGTTATTTTCATTTCTATTATTTCACTCATGTTGAATGTTCCACTGTATGAGAATGTGAATCTGTAAATGTAAATGTCTAAAATAAATCCATAAACACACACACTGTGTCGTCCTCACATCTGCACATTTATGTCCAACACATTTTGTTTGTTCAGGCACAAATCATTATTCAACTGTGACTTTATTGTGTTAAATAAAAATGATTAAAACATGATTCAAATGAATATTCTATAAATCATATGTGGACATATAAATATAAAATATCTAATTCTTTGTTATGTTTTTTTTTGTTCGTCAGGTCCAATCAACCCAAATAACAAAGAAAATCAAAAAAGCTGCAAGAGTTCAGGTTCTAGGAGGAAAAGAAACGTCTGAGGAATGAGTCTGAAAAAAGGAGAAAAAATAATAAAACTAAAAGATCTAAAATCCAAACAGAGTCATTAAAACCACTTCACATGTTTCCTCAGACCCAGAGTTTGAGACGAACTGAACCTGGACTGAACCAGGACTGAACCACTGAACCAGAACCAGGACTGACTAACCAGGACTGGACTAACCAGGACTAACCAGGACTGAACCAGGACTGAACCAGGACTAGACCAGGACTAGACCAGGACTAGACCAGGACTGAACCAGGACTGAACCAGGACTGAACCAGGACTGAACCAGGACTGAACCAGGACTGACCCAGGACTGACCCAGGACTAACTAAATCCCAGAGCCCTGCTGAGGTTCGTGTTCATGTTCGTGGAGCCTGGAGTCAGTGACTCTGAGCTCCTCCATGTGTGAAGGTCAGAGGATCAGATGATCAGAGGAGCAGGTCACACTCGACCCTTTGACATTTAACTCCACAGAGTCACAACCTCCTCAGGCTGGAGGAGAAGGACGAAGCCCACAGAGACTCCAGAACATGTTCCACACCAGACCCCACCTGATCTGAGCGACTGACCCCAGAATCATTAGACCAACATCTGAAACTAAGGAACAGACTCGATACTCGATACTCGATTCTGATCCCACGATGAAAATAAAACTCTCTCTTTAGACAATCTCCTGTAATGTCCCACAGTAAATGGTAGAACTTTATTTTCTATTCCCATGTGTCATTATATCTGTGTGAAACCAGGTCTAAACCAGGTCTAAACCAGGTCTAAACCAGGTCTAAACCAGGTCTAAACCAGGTCTAAACCAGTCTAAACCAGTCTCTAAACCAGGTCTAAACCAGTCTAAACCAGTCTAAACCCAGATCTAAACCAGGTCTAAACCAGGTCTAAACCAGGTCTAAACCCAGTCTAAACCAGGTTCTGCTCTGTCCTGAAAATGGGACTTTTTTAGGATCCAGACCAGAGAAACACGAGGATCTGGTTTCAATAGTTTTAGAATCAATTAAGATCTGATTTTTAATTCTTTTACTGTCGTCTGAGTAGTCAGGTAGTCATTCTCTGATTAGACCTGGTTTAGTCCTGGTTTAGACCTGGTTTAGTCCTGGTTTAGTCCTAGTTTAGACCTGGTTTAGTCCTGGTTTAGTCCTAGTTTAGACCTGGTTTAGTCCTGGTTTAGTCCTAGTTTAGAACTGGTTTAGTCCTGGTTTAGTCCTGGTTTGGTCCTGGTTTAATTCTGCTTTGGACCTGGTTTAGTCCTGGTTCAGTCCTGGTTTAATTCTGCTTTGGACCTGGTTTAGACCTGTTTTTGTTTTTTTCTGTCCTTCAGTGGGTCTTTTTTAGGATCCAGACCTGAGGAACAGGAGGATCTGGTTTCGATTCTCATTTTCATATCGATTTGTGATTTTTGATTCTTTTGACTCGTCTCAGGTCTCAGGATTTGTTTAAATGTGAGAGCAGGTTTTATTTACACAATCACCCCAGTGCAGCGTGGGACAGGACGGTTTACATGTTGTCCCTGTCCCTGTCATGTCCCTGTCATGTCCCTGTCATGTCCCTGTCATGTCTGTCCTGTCCCTGTCCTGTCATGTCCCTGTCCCTGTCACTGTCCTGTCCTGTCCCTGTCATGTCCTGTCCTGTCTGTCCCTGTCATGTCTGTCCTGTCCTGTCCTGTCCCTGTCCCTGTCATGTCCCTGTCCCTGTCATGTCAGTGTCCCTGTCCTGTCCCTGTCCTGTCCCTGTCCTGTCCTGTCAGTGTCCTGTCCTGTCCTGTCCCTGTCCTGTCACTGTCATGTCCGTGTCCCTGTCCTGTCCCTGTCCTGTCCCTGTCCCTGTCCCTGTCCTGTCCGTGTCCCAGTTTCCAGTGTGACATTTGGAGCAGGGGGAGGGGGCATTAATCAGCGCCGATGAGAGAATCAGGAAATGTCAGTGAGTCTGAACTGGACACAAATACACCACATACACAACAGATCACACACACACACACACACACACACCGTACACACACACACACACACACCACACACACACACACACACACACACACACACACAGAGCAGTGAGAGCGTCACGTGTCGGGACAGACCCACTTCACTCCGGTCTGTCCTGGTTCTGGTGTAAACGGTCGTAGGTTCAGTTCGGTCGTTTTATTCGCACTCGTAGGTAAATTTGTTTTGCAGATTTGAGCAGCAGGTCCCCACTTTTCACATTTCACATTTCACTCATCCACATTATGAACAATAAACACAAATATCAAGTCAGTCCCACCAACGACTGATCAACGGACACAAAAATGAAAGTGTGTTTATCAGACGGAGTCCGACTGCCCAACCTCAACTCAAACATCCATGTACCATCTTTATTTTAATTAATTAATTTATTTTTTTATTAGTAGACCTCACCTGACTACTGTATTTATTTACATATAACTGTGGGTTACAGTCTAATCTTGACACTTGTTATTATTTGTTTCAGTGTAAATTGCCTGTTATTTTGTACTTTTGGCAATAAAGTTCTAAAAAAAAAAACCACAAACAAAAACACAATTACAAAATAAAGTGTTAAAGCTCCAGAGCAGAAGGGTTTGATCCATAAATAAATCCATCCATCATGCTTGACTAAAAACACAATCAAAATTAAATATAAAGAAAGTATAAGATTTTTACAAGACAAATTTACTAGAATCGATAAATAAATAGATCAGAGTTTATTCATAAATACAACAGCAGATGGAACAAAGCTCCTTTTAAATCATTTGTTTTAGATCTTGGGATGAAAAGCCTCAGACCAAAGGAAAGAAGCTGAAACTCTGAGTTTAGAGACTCTTTAAAAACTGTGAGTGTCCTGAGTCCAGAGAGTCCAGCAGCTCTGAGGAGGAACAATCACCAAACTCTCCCGTTTAACGACGGATTCAGGGAGTTGTTGTTTTTAGAGACGCTCCAAACCATGAGACCAGTGAAAAAGTTAAAACTGATTCAATTTTTCACTTGTTCTGAACACAGACGCTCAGAGCATCGACCATTTTGACTCACTCCACTCTTTGGCAAAGTTTGGACCAATCAAAACTGTGGTGAGGTTCTTCCAGAAAACTCAGGCTTAGTCAGGAAATGTGTTTTGTGCTTTATCGTGCTAAAAAAAAAGGTGCCAAACGTGAGTGGAAAAATATTTACAGTGGTTCAGTGGAAAAAAAAGTTAAAGTTTGATTCAAACGAACTAAAATGAGTTTTTGTTACATTTCCCTTTAAGTCGCGCAGCGTTTGCTCCCTGGTTTATAGACGTGCAGGACGGGCGACGTTTTCATCTGCAACCACATCGCAAAACGCATCATCCGCCCGCGCTTCATTTACAACCACAGTTTTTGACCAGTTTTCAAAACTGCACCCGCCCACCGCCGCCCGCCGCCGTCCGCCCGCCCGCCGTCCGCCGCCGCCCGTCCTCCCAGCGGCTCCGACCTCAGAGTTTTTTATTTGAGTAGTGAAACGGCCACACGCCTGAATTTAATTATTCTTTTTCGTCGCGTCATCCGCCCGACCCGCGGTTTAGCGGTGGAGTCCGCGGCTGTAACCTCCATCCGCGCATCTCTACTGGTTTAGTGTGATTTAAATGGACAGAACAAGAGCTTCTAAGTGTGCAGCTTTAGTCGAGACACGCAGGAGGTGTTGTGAAAATGTATTTTAATAAGTGGTTTTGGTAAGAAATGGTTCGGCGAGTGGAGCGCAGTGAAAAAGGAAACGGGCGCGTGTGTCTTCACACACTCTCCCCACAGACGGCGTTCAGAGGGACGCACCTGCACCGTCACAAAAACAGACGGAGAGACTGAGTTTGGACCAAAACAAAGTTCATATCAGACACTCGTTTTCCCAACATCATCACACAACAAATGACAGAGAAGAATGACGAAAAAAAATGAACTCTGCTGAAAAAAAACACAGAAAAACACAACTCTGAAAAAAAAAGTTTCTATGTTTTATAGTCATAAAATTCTGTGTGGTTTTATAAAACATGTGAGTCTGGAAGGTTCACGAGTCCTGAAGAGTCTGTTTAGTGTGAGGAGCTTTACGTGTGTGAGTCTGGACCTGCGTTTGTGTTTGTGGAGATGTTTGTGGAGGTGTTTGTGGAGGTGTTTGTGGAGATGTTTGTGGAGTGTTGTGGTGTTTGGAGATGTTTGTGGAGGTGTTTGTGAGATGTTTGTGGAGGTGTTTTGGAGGTGTTTGTGGAGATGTTTTGGAGTTGTTTGTGGAGATGTTTGTGGATGTTTGTGGAATGTTTTGTGGAGGTGGAGGTGTTTGTGGAGATGTTTGTGGAGTGTTTGTGGAGGTGTTTGTGGAGATGTTTATGGAGGTGTTTGTGGAGGTGTTAGTGGAGATGTTTGTGGAGGTGTTTGTGGAGATGTTTGTGGAGTGTTTGTGGGAGGTGTTGTGGAGATGTTTTGGAGTGTTTGTGAGAGTGTTTGTGGAGATGTTTGTTGGAGGTGTTTGTGGAGATGTTTGGTGGAGATGTTTTGTGGAGGTGTTTGTGGAGATGTTTGTGGAGGTGTTTGTGGAGATGTTTGTGGAATGTTTGTGGAGTGTTTGTGGAGGTGTTTGTGGAGATGTTTGTGGAGGTGTTTGTGGAGATGTTTGTGGAGATGTTTGTGGGAGGTGTTTGTGGGAGGTGTTTGTGGAGATGTTTGTGGAGATGTTTGTGGGAGGTGTTTGTCGGAGATGTTTGTTGGAGATGTTGTGGAGATGTTTGTTTGTTTGGTGAGATGTTTGTGGAGATGTTTGTGGAGATGTTTGTCGGAGATGTTTGTGAGATGTTGTCGGAGATGTTTGTGGAGTGTTTGTGGAGATGTTTGTGGAGATGTTGTGGGATGTTTGTCGGAGATGTTGTTGGAGGTGTTTGTGGAGATGTTTGTTGTTTGGTGAGATGTTTTGAGATGTTTGTGGAGATGTTTGTGGAGATGTTTGTCGGAGATGTTTGTCGGAGATGTTTGTGGAGATGTTTGTTGGAGGTGTTTGTGGGAGGTGTTTGTGGGAGGTGTTTGTGGAGATGTTTGTGGAGATGTTTGTGGAGATGTTTGTGGAGATGTTTGTGGAGGTGTTGGAGGTGTTTGTGGAGATGTTTGTGGAGATGTTTGTGGAGATGTTTGTGAGATGTTTGTGGAGATGTTTGTCGGAGATGTTTGTCGGAGATGTTTGTCGGAGATGTTTGTGGGAGGTGTTTGTGGGAGATGTTTGTGGGAGATGTTTGTGGAGATGTTTGTGGAGATGTTTGTGGAGATGTTGGAGATGTTTGGAGATGTTTGTTGGAGATGTTTGTTGGAGGTGTTGGAGGTGTTGTGGAGATGTTTGTGGAGATGTTTGTGTCGTACTCGTACCTTCATGATGTCCAGCCTCTCCTCGTCGCAGCGCACAAACACGGAGGAGCAGGAGGACAGGGGCAGGGAGGTGGACAGGGTGACCGCCTCCTGGGCCAGACGGCGGGAGCGAGCGGCGCTGTTCGAGTCGCTGGCGTTCTTCACCTGAGACATGTAGTGGTAGTTCACTTTAAACAGGAGCTTCCCGTCGTCGTCCTCGCTCACCATCTCGAACGTGTCTGCGGCGCAAACACACAAACACACACACAAAAACACACAAACACACACACAAAAACACACAAAACACACACACAACACACACGTTAGAGAAATATAAAACACACTTTAAACACAGTCTCAAACGTGTCTGTGGCGCAAACACACAACAGTGTTGGAGTAACAGATTACATGTACCAGAGTTATGTAATCAGAGTACAAATGGTGAGTAACTGTATTCAGTTACAGTTACTGTTTCAGTGAGTGGTAATTGGATTACAGTTACTTTGTTGAAATAAATGGATTACACAGAGGGATTTTACTGTTTTCACATTTTGGGCTAAATCCCCCCCACCCCTTTTTTTTTTTTTCTTGGTAATTCCACTCATTGCCAGAAACTAAACCAGGTCTAAACTAGATCTAAAACCAGGTCTAAACCAGAACTAAACCAGGACTAAAACCAGGTTTAAACTAGACCTAAACTAGATCTAAACCAGGTCTAAACTAGGACTAAACCAGGATAAAAACAGGATTAACAGGACTAAATCCTGCTGTGTGGACGTGTCTCTTCATCTTTTATCAATAATATTTTTAATTTGGTTCAGTAAAGTTTGGGCTTTTTATTTTCTTTTAGCAGATAAAACAGTTTATGTTACTATTTCCTCGTCTTTGTTTCTCTACAGCAAATCAAGTAAACCAAAGTAATCAGATTACATTACTCACTTTAAGTAATTTAATGGATTATGTTACAAACTACATTTTGGTGTGTGTAATCTGTAATCTGTAGGGGATTACATTTTAAAAGTCACCTTCCCAACACTGACCCCAGAACAGTTTTAGTTTAACTCAGACTTAACTGCACGTCTCAGATCTTCTAACCGTGTTCTAGTCGTTTCTTCTCACTGACTCTTTACGTTGTGTCTGGACTGATTCCTTCAGGTTTGACGAAGCTTTAATCGTTTATTTTCAAGACGCCATTTCGCAGATCTGCCCTCGTTTTCAGAGCTTTTATTTACGGTTCTACAGTTAAAACAGTTTTCGCAGATGGAGATTGGGTGGAGTCGTGTGTCGGTAAAAGGAGGTGATGAGTGTGAAGTAAACGTCAGAGCAGTGGGAGAACATGGCCTCTGGTGTTGGGGAAGTTTAGAGTTCAGTTCAGAGTTCAGTTCAGAGTTCAGTTCAGAGTTCAGTTCAGAGTTCAGTTCAGAGTTCAGTTCAGAGTTCAGTTCAGAGTTCAGTTTAGAGTTCAGTTCAGAGTCCTGGAGGATAAACTACAGTCCTGCAAACTCAATATGAGCGTAAAGTCAAATATACAAATGATTCATGTTCGCTTCCTACATCATTTGATTTGCCGTTAATAAAAACATTTTAAACAGACTAAACGTGCCGACTGTGCTCTAATCTCCTCAACATTTTACACAATTCCACTCTGCTTCTCCTTTTTGGATGGAGCTTAAGAAAGAGAACGTCTCCATATTGTGGCCTGATTCATCAAACGGTTTTACTTCGTTTCACTTGGTGTAAACCATCTGCCCTCACAGTGTCAGGATTCGTTCACTCGACAGTAGACGGGGACTTTTATTTAACCAATCGCTGATGTTTGATCGTGACGTATAATGCTCCACTAACGAGGATAACTGGTAATATTAAGCTTTTCCCAAATCCTGTAGGAAGAAGAACAATAATGTCTTTCTCCTTGATAAATTTCACCAAACTTTCTCTTTGTTCTGACTTTAAATCCTTGAGCAGCTCAGGAATCGTTGCCAACACTGAATGTCTGTCTCTTCTCTGATTGGCTGGAGCCTGAACTCACACGTCCGGGGTTTTTTCAAATCGTCTAGTGTTCAGTATTCTGATTCCTGATCTAGTCAGTGCAGACGTCTAGTTCAGTTCACATAATTGTTTATAGTTAACAGTTTGTTCATAGTTCTAAACATTAAACCAGTTAATAGTTCTTTACCAATACGCTGCTGCGAGTGATTATTTTTCAATTAAGTTTCAATAAAGCAGACAAAAAAATAAATGTCCCTTCCTCCACGACCTTGAGCTCTTTGTTGCTGCTGCTTCAGTCGCCTCCTGCTGAGTCTTTGTTTAGTTTTGTTTTGGTGATGCGGCGCTGGAGGCTCATGTTGTTGCCAGATTAAATTTTTTTCCCGCTAAACGTTGCAGCTCTTTACGTTGTGTTTATTTGGGGTTTTCACCTGAAACACTAAAGAAATCTGTCCCCTATTGGACAAAGTGAAACAGAAGCTCATGATGTTCACAGACTCCAGAATGAACGAGGTCAAAGTTTGTTCATCAGGCAGAAATACAGAGAGTTCAGCTCATGTTCGACCAAAATATGAACGTTCAGGTACAACTCTGATGGCCTCAGCCTCGTGTGGAATCAAACCTGGGACCTTTTATCTGTGAGGCTCCAACATGCTGCCCTGGGTTTAGGACTAAACTAAAGACACAGATTTCGAGCTAAGACAAGAAACACACGAGTTTAGTGTTTCTGCTGAGTAAGAACATCTCTGGTTCTTCAGACGTGCTCCTCTAACCCTCCATCCACAGCAGAAGAATAAACATGTTTGTGTCAGAGTTTTTTTCCTCCGTGTCCCTCAGAGCAGTTCTGAGTCTCTTCTGTGTGACTGAAGAGACAGTGACAGTGTCCCGCCTCCAGGGGACAGAGACACTTCAGGACATCACAGAAAAGACAGGTCTAAATCTACACACACGTTTATTTTGGTTTAAAGGAGCGGAGTGTGTTCTGCCTCCGACTGTTTAAAAAAAGCTCCTACAGATGTGACCCTGTGACTCCAGCGCCTCCAAAGTTCTCCTTAAAACTTACATTAGATCTAAACACGTGTCTCGTATCTGGGGACACGTGGGTCAGGTTCAGGTTTAAGGAATCTAAAAATCTAAATCTAAAAACGTTTCCTTTAACCTGGAGCGGGTAAATGAAGTGTATTTGTAAATAAATGTTTTCTTCTTTACCGAACTGCAGCTTCTTCATGACGGCGACGTACTTCTCCTCCAGAGAGCGAAGGAGCGACTGAGGTTTGGGACGACTCGACGCTTTTCTGGAACATTCCACCAACTTCCTCTCTGGAAAACACAGGATCAGATGATAAACGGTAAAATATCCAGAATCAATATCCTGGCGGAGGCTGGTGGTGTTTTGGTGGTGTTGGTGTTGTTGTTTGGTGGTGGTGTTGGTGGTGTGTTGGTGTTGGTCTTACCCTGGTGGGCCTGGCGGTTGGTGTTGGTGGTGGTGGTGGTGGTGGTGTGGTGGTGGTGTTGGTGGTGTGGTGGTGGTGTGGTGGTGTGGTGGTGGTGTGGTGGTGGTTGGTGGTGGTGTTGGTGGTGGTGTTGGTGGTGGTGGTGGTGGTGGTGGTGTGGTGGTGGTGGTGGTGGTGGTGTGGTGGTGTGGTGGTGGTGGTGGTGGTGTTGGTGGTGGTGGTGGTGGTGGTGGTGTGTGGTGGTGTGGTGGTGGGTGGTGTGGTGGTGGTGTTGGTGGTGTGTGGTGGTGTGGTGGTGTGGTGGTGGTGGTGGTGGTGTTGTTGTGGTGGTGGTGTTGGTGGTGGTGGTGTGTTGGTGGTGTGGTGGTGGTGGTTGGTGGTGGTGGTGTTGGTGGTGGTGTTGGTGTTGGTGTGGTTGGTGGTGTGGTGTGGTGGTGTGTGTTGGTGGTGGTGGTGGTGGTGGTTGGTGGTGGTGGTGGTGGTGGTGTGGTGGTGTGTGTGGTGGTGGTGGTGGTGGTGGTTGGTGGTGGTGTGGTGGTGTGGTGGTGGTGGTGTTGGTGGTGGTGTGTGGTGTGGTGGTGGTGTGGTGGTGGTGGTGTGTTGGTGGTGGTGTGTGGTGGTGGTGGTGGTGGTGGGTGTGGTGGTGGTGGTTGGTGGTGTTGGTGGTGTGTTGGTGTGTGGTGTGGTGGTGGTGGTGTGGTGGTGGTGTGGTGTGTGGTGGTGGTGGTGGTGGTGGTGGTTGGTGGTGGTGTGGTGGTGGTGGTGGTGGTGGTGTGGTGGTGGTGGTGGTGGTGTGGTGGTGGTGTTGGTGGTGGTGGTGGTGTGGTGGTGGTGTGGTGTGTGGTTGGTGGTGGTGGTGGTGGTGGTGTGGTGGTGGTGGTGGTGGTGTGGTGGTGGTGTTGGTGTGTGGTGGTGGTGGTGGTGGTGGTTGGTGGTGTGGTGGTGTGTGTGGTGGTGGTGTTGGTGGTGTGTTGGTGGTGGTGTGGTGGTGGTGTGGTGGTGGTGTGGTGGTTGGTGGTGGTGTTGGTGGTGGTGTGGTGGTGGTGGTGGTGGTGGTGGTGGTGGTGTGGTGGTGGTGGTGTGTGGTGGTGGTGTTGGTGGTGTGGTGGGTTGGTGGTGGTGGTGG